TAAAAGATAATATAGTAAATAAAAAACAATTTAATTCAATTTAATAATTTTTTTATAATATAATTAATATCGACTTTTTGTGAAAACTTATAATCAATAATCAATATTTATATCAATTTATACCAATGAAAATTTATGTAAATATATTTTTATTATATATTCTTAAACTATTTAAAAAACATAATTATATAAATGTTTTATATAAAATTTAATACTTATATTTTTATATATTTGCTCAGGAAATTTCAATTTTAAAAATTGACCATAGTCATCTCTTCTTAACTCCATCCCTGGATGACACATTATCATACATATTCGATTTGGAAAGAAAAAGAAATTGTGACTGTATGTAATTTAACTGGTTAAATAACAAAGACTAAATTACACTTATTATCTCCTTATAATATTAAACTCACAATGTTATTTTTTTAATTTTTAATTCTATAATTTTAGTCTTAAATTTTTTATAATTCACAATTTTTATCTCATCATTAAATATCCATTTATTTATTATTAAAATTCTAACTTTGGTAACAACGTGATAATTAATATTTAATAATATTTAGATTAAATTTTATTTTTAATTTTTTTAATCTTTTTTTCAACTCATTTTAACACTTTTATGATAAAAAATAAATAAATCAATTTCAATATATTACGAAAACGTAATGCAGTGAATTTACAATTTATTAAAAAGAAATTGCAATGTTAAAAATATCAATACATTGTTTTTTTTGTAATGTATTGAATTATAATATTTCCGGCATTACATAAACTAGTTTCGAAATTACCACATAACATTTCCAAAAAAAAAAAATAGCAGGTTCATGCATAAAAAGCGATTTATTTCTGTTTTGTTTGGGTTAATAAAATTATATAATTGTAAAATTGTTACAATTTTTTTTTTATAAAGAGTTATAACTCATTCTTATTAGATTGGTCTCTATAGAGATAAAATGATATTTCTAATCATAAATCTAAATCTAAGATAGAAGTTAAACCTCAATCTTAATTAAGAAACACAAGTGTCATCATATTAACAACTTTTTACAAAAGGTTATAAGAAATATAGTGTAAATATCATTGCAAACGGTTTATAATAATATTTACATAATCTTGTTTTTTTTTATGAGTAGGAAAATAAAAAAGAAAGAAAATACAAGACTAGGATTTGATAAAAAATAGTTTCTTGAGCATTTGTTCTAACCAAAAAGTTTAGGGGTGTTAGACAAGAATGTAACAACACAAATAGATCTTGAGTCTTGGCCTCGTATTTGGCAAGCCAGACAACACACGTGTTGCCCTCTCTTAATGTATGTTTGAAGCGAAGATCCCAAGCATAGTTGAGGAAGGATCAGATGGAATTCACAATTGGAGCATAAGGGTGATGAAAGGGTGTTCCATGAGATATTAATCTGAGCGTCGTTTGAGAGTTGTTTCATAAGACGTGGATATGTAACTTGCTGAGCAAGCACATTGGATACCATGCTAAATGACATGGAGTTTCGCATTGGTGTTTGCAGTAAATCCGCAAGAGTCATAAAATCCCATGATCCAGTTACTTGATGTGGTTCGAAGATGGCCACCAAACCTGGAGGGCCAGGATTACCAAAGGAGCTACCATCAGTGTTGATCTTAATAAAAAGGTCAACAAGGGCTGACCAATGAACTAGACGTGGTTGATTAAGACCAATAACTAGGGATTCCTTGATGATAATGTTGAGGAGAGACATGATCTGGTTATGTGAGAACCAGGCTGGCCATATATGGTCCTTGAATATATATGCATTGCATGCCTTCCAAATGAACCAACATGTTACAGCAAAAAGTTGTCCTTGATTACTAGTGATGTACGTTATGACATAACCACGTAGCTCCATTCAACATAAAGGAGTCATCGTTGGTGTTGAAGCGAAGCTGATGCCAAACCTGTGTGGCTTTTTGGGCAATTGCAAAGAGTATGAATCCAACTTTCCTCAGGAGCTCCACACTTATAGCAAGAACAAACAAAGGAGATATGATGCTTAAAACAAAGAAGGTTGGTGGGGAGACTTCAATGGTATAAGAGCTAAATCAGGTGCTTAATATTTTCAGAAAGGTTGGTGGACTAGATCTAGGACCAAGTTTAAGCACAACATGTAGATTAGTAGGTTCACGGGTAAGCCATTTATAGGCAGACTTGGCATAGTAATCTCCAGATTAGGAAGGATTCCACACAAACATGTCTAGTACATTTTGGTTTAGGAAGATGGAACTGATGTACTTGACCTTCGAAGGAAGAGTAGTATATAGTTGGTTAAAATTTCAAGTACCATCCTTAAACACATCTTTCACCAATAAGAGATTATCTGTAAAATATGAACATAATCAACCAACTCACATAACTTACCAATAGGTCACCAAGAGTTGAACTAGAAGGACAAGTCTCCACAACCAATTCTAAGGGAGAATCCTTCTCGGAGGTGGTAAAGGGCCTTTATGATTGAAATCCAAGTGTATGACGCTCCACTTCTAAGTTCCACATCCCATAAGGAAATGTTGTTAAGGTATTTAGAGCATAAATTCTGGACCCAAAGCTTATTTGGGTTGATGATAAAAGACCAAATATGCTTACCAAGAAATGAAATGTTAGCATTTCTAGTGCATCTTAGGCCAAGTCCCTCCTATAGGCGTTGCTTAGTCACAGATTCCCAGTCCACCCAATGGCAAGATGGTTTACCCCAAATAAAATTACGTATAATAGAGTTAATCCCAACACATACGCTTTCAGGAAGCCATAGATTTTGCATGGAATAGGTTGGTATATGGCACCAAGACCCGACTTGGTTAGAGTAGTCTGACCAACATGATTTAATAAATGGAATTTCCAACTAGCTAACTTGTTATGTATACTATCAGGATGTAAGACAAGTTTGAATTCTTGACTCGCCCAATTAAGAGAGGAAACCCAAGGTACTTACCTGGGTTTGTTGTATGTTGAAACTCTAATACTGAAGCAATTTTAGCCAATTTTCTTCTTGAACATTTCTTAAGGCATATAATCTAGATTTTTGAATGTTAACCTTGAGACCAAATGCAAGGCAGAAGGTGTGTAGAATTTATCTGGCTAAACGAGCTTGAGAACAAGTAGCCCGAGTGAAAAGGAGACAATCATCAACAAAAAAATAGGTGCGAGAATTTGGGACCATTCCTGCATAAGGAAATTGGTAACCATCTACTGTTAGACACATTATCCTGGATGAGAATGGCTAGCTCTCCATGCACAAAAGGAAAAGGTATGGGGAAAGTGGATCCCCTTATCATAGGCCTCTTCTTGGTGAAAAGGAATGGAGATGTTCACCATTCCATTTTAATGTGAGAGAAGTAAAGGAAGTATAGAACATGATTAAATCAATAATCTTTGGTGGGAAACCAAAGTTTGAGAGGTTGAATCTAAGGTAGCTCCAATCAATCCTATCGTACACCTTTTCAAAATCAATTTTGAGGAGTAACTAACCTTTCTTGCCTTTCTTCATTTTATGTATATGGTGGACAAGCTCTTGAGCAAGTAGAGCATTATCTAAAGAACCTTTGCCAAGAAGGAAGTTGTTTTGACGGGGACCGATAAGTTTCTCAAGGTAGGGTTGGATTTTATTCACAAGAACTTTGGATATTAACTTTAGTAACACATTACATAGATTGATTGGCCGAAACTCCTTTAAGAAAGCTGAAGTTTCTTATTTTGGTATAGGAACTATCAAGGTTTTTGCCAAAAGGGGGTTAAAACTACCTGTTGTGAAAGCATCATTTACAATCTCCTATACTGTATCACCAATAGTATCCCAATATGTTACGAAGAAGATCGGTTGGAACCTATCACTACAAAAAAATTTGTGATTTGTGGCGGTTATTTTGGCAGTTTCTGGCGGTCAAAAACCGCCACAAATCGCATTACTGGCGTCACTAATAACCGCCGGATCCACGGTCGCCAAAAACCGTTTGATATATCAGGGTCAAGTGCTTTGTAAAGGTTCATGGAGAAAAGGGCAATCTTTACCTCTTGGAAGGTGATAGGGCTTTGGAGTTTAATGGTCCTAGTTACATAATCTTGTTTAATGATTACAAATAATAAGTTAAATACTAATAGTTGTTAATTTAAATAAAACTGAACACATTTCTTTTAATCAAGGCGGGTCCAAGCATAAAGTTGGTCAAACCTTAGCTTTAGGCTCCCAAAATATTTTTTTTTACTTATATAAAACTTAATGAATTAGTTGTATCAATACTAATTTTAGTTTGTTGGTTAGTGTTTAAGTCTAGCATTGTAAGGATTGGGGTTTGATTTTAGTATTGTAATTTTTTGTTGAAAGTTTTTTTTATGGATGATTGTTGATTTTTTTATTATTATTTCATATTTAAAAAGGTTCAACTTTAAAACTTACTTTAAGTCTTAAAATATGTTGGACTGACCTTGCTTTTAATAAAAATCAAATTCAAGTTTTGTGAGTGAAAAAAAATATATGTAACTAAAAGAATACATCTTATTAAAGATATTAAAATGATAAGCTAAATTTTCTCATAAAAATTAGTCACTTGGTAAAGTTGATGTATACTTTGCATTAATAATAAACTTTCAAAATATAATGAGTTAAATGTTATATTCACTTAAATATAATTATATAAATTTCTCACATGAACATGTCATCTGGGCCATACTAAGCTTCAATTTCATTAGTCAAATAACAAAGCAAGAAAAACTCGAAATATATCCGTTGAGGCTCAAGAACAAAAAAAAAAACTCTTCTTTTCTTAACGCACAACGAATGAAAAACATACAAAACACACATTAAAAGATTAAAAAAGGACCACACTTATTAAAATCCCTCTCCAATGCATCACTCTCATTAAGCATCAGATCCTACTTACTAAGCACACACTAGTTAATTAAGCAACTCTATTAAAGATGCTTTAACACAGATTAAAAGATATCTCTTAGACTTGAGTAATTTGTATCATTTTCTTGTCATAAACATGACCAGATAAGCATGCTCTAATATCTGTTCTTCCAACAGGTCAGCAACCTTCTTTCTGAATCTAAGGAACAATTCATGAATTATTCCTTCTCCAAACCATGCCGTCAGTAAAGGTTCAGTAGTAGCTCTCACGTATTTGGCTATGAAATTAGCTCTCACATTTCTATCTAAAACATCATTACCATTCTCCTTCAACCCCTCATCCCAACGTGACTTGAAACTCTCCATCTTCTGCAGAGTAAAAGACCCTTCTGCCTCAATCAATTCTTTAACTTCCTTAGCTGTAGGACCAAATCTTGGCATATTAACTGACTCCAACTTCGCCTCTTCAATCAAACTCTGCATTACATAATATGTTACACTCCATAATCCTTAGACATTGTAAGAAATAAAAAAAAAAATGAAACAATGAGAATTTTGTTGAATGTACCTCCGAAACCATGTCATTGAGTACCAAACCAATTAGTCCCCAAGGAGTGATTATTTCACAAGTTTCATCTCTACCAACAAATGTTAGAATCATACCACCACCACTCACTAATTCTTCAGCACGTGATTTTATAAACAGATTGAAATCTTCACTAAACTGTTCAAGGTATGCTTGGTACACTGAAGATGGGCTTGTGCTTGTGAAGTAAATGTTTCCCTTGTTAACCAATCCTGTTCCCTTAGCCAACCCCTTTGGAGCCTATTGCCAAATTAAACAATGAAAAATAAATACTGAAATAATGTTATATATGTAACTACTTTGTCATATTATAAATTGAAGTTAACCTGAGAGAGCCAATGAAGACTGGTGGAAGAATGAAAAAAGTGCATGGAATTGGTTGGGAAGAGTCTCCCATAAAAGCTTCCAGGTGTTGCATTAACGAAACATGAAGTACTAAATTTCTCTCCCTTCTCTTCTCGTAGCCTCTCATAGAAGGAAGGTAGGGACTCAAAGATGTTGTTGAAATCGTTTCGAAATTGGTCATTGAGGAAAATTTGGAATGTGGGTGGCTCAAGATTAAAGGTGGCACTTATGTTATGAACAGCATCAATTATATCATGCACCACTTGAAGTGCATTTGGTCCTGAAGAGCAACCCAAGTCAGCCACTTTGAAACAGCTTGGGACAGAGTTGCAATACAGGCTCCTCATACTATCTTCCAGGATGGGTTTCACTTTTGATATCATCTTACTCTGCATGAAATTAATAAAATTAAACCCAACATAAAACATATAACGAATGACTCGCAAGGTATCTGTCGGAGATTTCATCTTGGCTAGTGATTTCATCAATGTAGAGTTTATAAATAATAAAAAATCTCAACTTTATAAACCGATTTTTTTAATTTAAATTCACTTTCTTAAAAGTAACATTTGAAGATTATGTTGTCCAAAATAGTTAAATAGTATGATGATAGATGGAGAAAGAGAAATTAGTACTTGAAATGAGGAATTGTTTGCGTAGCTAGCTTCCCCAGCACCACCATTAGCGATGATAAATTGTACTGTTGCCATGGGTCACAAAACTGAACACTGATGATCAAAACCTATGATCGAGTGTGGTAGTTGGTGTCACAGTCATGATTCATGAACATCCATCACCTTTTAAAGAGGAGGAGGCCCAATAATTTCAATTTAAGTGGGCCATCGAACATTAGAGTCCAAGTATCCTTACGTGAGCACATACGCAAGAAAAACATCTACTTTGGATAGAGGGAGTTTAGTTGTCTGAATCTGAAATATCATATTCATGTCTTGGAATGAACATTTATTATTCGAGAAAGTTGAACTTTTGAAACAGTTAAATAGGAGTTTGGTATTGTCTTGTCTCTTTCCTCTGACAAGGACAAAAACGTTGTTAAAGAAGACAATTAGTACAAGGTTAGGCAGTCAACGTAATCCTGTAAGAGCTAAGATTCATGAATTGGTGTATCTGAGATTCTATTATAGTTCAATTTTTATTTCTAAAGTAAGGAAGACGTATGACGTGTGAGGCTCTATCTCAGTGCTTTGAAACAAGAATAAAGAGGAAGAAAAAAAACAAAACAAAAAAAGAGCAGTCAGTTTGGTCACCCACAGTGTCTATACTCTTGCCAAGCTAATGGTGCAAATCGGTTCATGCTGTCCTGCATAGTATGTTTATCCGTGGCTTTGCATGCCGATGCAAAGGGGAACTCTCATGAGAGAGTAGTTCTATTTTATTTGTTATTGCTTTTCTTTTTTGGCTTTTTAAGCTATTGTAACCAGAAAAAGAACCATGCATTTCACTTGCGGACTTCAAGTTGGGTTGGTCGCAGACTCAATACAAGTTGCAGGTTATAACGGGTCAAACAAAAACTCATTCAATTTAAGTCTCTAAAATGATACCCAAACTCAGCAAAATAAAATAAAACTACGTTTATCCATTTCTTAATGGAAGTTCAAATCAAGATATGATCAAATCGGGTTAAAAAGATCCACGATTAATTCATGCTTAAAATTTAAAGCCCAATCTTTAAATTTCATTAGAAAAGTTTAGGTCGAGTCAATCAATTTAACCCATTTTAGTGAAGATTGAAAGAGAAGTAGAAAAGTCTGAGCGAGAAGTCGAAAGGAGTTGAAACAACTTGTAAAAACTTAAAACTAGAATTAGAAAACCTTTTTCTTATTCCAAAAGTGAGTTAAAATGGTTTTGAAATTCATTTAAAAATCATTTCAACCCTATTTTATCGAAACGGATTTTATTTTCAAATTCAATTTTGGTAACAAAATTGAAAACTCATAATCACCCTATATGGAGCCTTAGCTTTTAGGATTTTGTTCAATGTTTCAAATTTTCAGAAGGTTTAGATAAAGATAGAAATGTTGTTCTTATCATCTTAAACTTGAATTCTATCACTTGAGAGTGTACAAAAAACGCAAAACCCAAACCGTCGAGTTTCAGATCCCTCAAAAGTCAAAAGTAAAGTACAACAGGGTATACATTGGAAAGGAAGGAAATTGGACCAAAGAATCCCCACCAACAATATGTATGCGATGAAGTATGTCTTACGAGATGGTCTTTAATTGTACACAGATTTAACATTATCTCCCTATAGTTGCGCCAGAAACAAGGATAACAGATGGCTTCAGCATCGAAGAACTGCAAGTAAAACAACAGATAAGAAAATGCAAAAATCAAGTGACTAGGTATCCATTAAAGAGTTTATAGTTATGCGTTGACAGTGTAATCACTAATCACAAATCATAGTATGTGTGATTTTGAAGTAGTTTTTGTAGCATTATCATAAATTTCTCCGAAAGCATAAACATTAATAACTCGTTAAGGTGTCATTTAGCTTGCCATACAGCCCCTAAGGTGTAGATATTAAATTAAGAGCTACATTGCACAGCACCTCAGCATCCATGCTTGTTAAGAACCAAGAATTAGGAATGGGATGTAAAAGACAGATTTTATTGAATATGTTGATAAGAACAAGTAATAGGAGAGAGACAGAGAGATCTGTCCTCAAAGGTTTCCCTTCACAAAGAGTTAATGCTCAACATACTCCCCTTTTGCCCCAACATCCTCCTATTTATTAACTCATTAAGCCCCTAACTAACTAATTAATATCCTAACTGTCTTGACTAACTCCCCCCTTCCCAAAGTCCTAAGACCTAACACATGCTCACCATGGTTTACTGCTCATAGACTATAAAAAAGCACCAAATCACATTCTATTCACCTCGTTTTAATATAAATAATAACGGTAACAAATCCGGCAGAGTTCAATATAAATAAAACTACATACTTGCCACCTTATTTCAAAAAGAAGAAACAACCTGAAGGAGCGAGAATCCCCAGACTTTAAACAGACATCTTCATATTAATCTTCGGGTGAGGATTATAGCCTATGAGCTTGAAATCAGCAGCCACAAAAGAATCTATATCTTTCTTCTTTGGATTTATTTTCAAAGTCTGCATTGTAGTACATTAAGGGAGTCAACAAGGAAAAGAGTCAAGACAAACTAAAAGAAGTGCTAAACATTACACATACTGGAAATGGTTTTGGCAGGTTATGGAGCTGCTCCTGTAAGGGATTCACATGATTGCTGTAAACATGTGTATCCCCAATAACATGGATAAAATCACCTGGAACAAGATCTGACAAGAAAAAGACATTGGTTATTTTACTTTTAAATTACTTTTTAAGCTTTATTTTTCTCTAGTGATATTATCAAAACCAATAAACTACTGAATCCAGAACCTACCTAGACCCCAAACATCAACTCTGAAACAAAGACTTGTTGATAAACTTCCGAAAACAAGTACTCTACCAAAAAAGCTATAAAAAATAGTTGAAAAGTGAAAATAGAATACTACCAAGAAAAATAAAAAAAAATCCTCTTGTATGCAAAAATTTCTCAGTTACCAAAGAAAGGGGCATATAGAACTGAACCAATCTCCACACACAACTAATGTCCAAAAAAAATATTAAATATAAGACTCAGGCTAATCAAATCACCTGAACCAAACTTTCTAGGGTCAATTACAGTTTTAATAAAAAAAAATAAAAACCGAAATCAAGCATGGACAAAGATCAGTGCATGAGCAAGTCTGGTTATTATCTCCTGGGCCTGGAAATGGAATTAGCCAGAGCATCATCTTTGATATGATAACCAACACCTATTAATTAGCTTCAAGTCATTTACAACCATATAAAGTGGGATAGATCATCTCTTATTACTACCACAAAACCTCAAAACATTTGATCAATTGACTACATATTTAAGTCTGTAGTGAATGCTTCGAAAATTTGCATACCACAAACATGAGCAATCATGCATGTCAGGAGGGCATAAGAAGCAATATTAAATGGAACACCCAGACCCATGTCAGCAGATCGCTGGTACATTTGACATGATAACTCCCCATGAGCTACATAAAACTGCAAAAGTTAAAAAAATAAAAAATAAAATAAAAAGAGAAAAATATCAATATATGTGTGGAGAGGGGAGGGGGGAGGTTATCAAAGAAAAACTGAATAAAGCTGCAGACCTGTGCAAACATGTGGCAGGGTGGAAGTGCCATCAATTTAAGATCAGCTGGATTCCATGCAGAGAAAATGATTCGCCGATCATTAGGATTATGCTTTATCTTGTTAATAACATCTAAAAGCTGATCAAACCCTTGGCCGGAGTAGTCATCATGCATGTTAGTATATCTATAAAGTGTAAGAAAGGAAATACAGAGTTGAGCAATTCTACATAAAACAATCTTTTGTAATACCTTCAGAAAAAGAAAAGGTATAATTCACCTACCTGGCACCAAAATGCCTCCATTGAAACCCATAAACAGGCCCCAAGTCACCCTCTTCCCTCTCTGTCAAACCAATACTGTAATAAAAAATGTAAAACCAATTACTAACTGCAATATAAAGAAAAATGTACAATTTTTACTTCAAATGTTAAAATATATAGTTATGCTTGCCAATCAAGGTATTCTCTGGATGCATTGCCATCCCATATATGAATGCCTTTTTCCTGTAGCACCTGTCAATATACATTGTTTGCAGAACGAAGTTCATTAAATCAAATCCACCATGTCAGTAAACTGTAAAAGATTCCTTGATAACTAAGTAATAAAACACCTCATGCAAATGAAATACGTGAATGACAGTTTAGTCCATAACCCTTTATTTCTAAGACACCAATAAAAAAACAGTGGATAAGCAAGTGCAAGCTGTGCTATCACAGAATACAGATAGAATAATTTTTTCACTCAACAATAATATTCAACTCCATGAACATCCTCAATAATGATAAGGATCTAATGCAACCCAACTTATGTAGACAGGCAAAAAGCAAGCCCAGAAATCCTTCAAAACAATATTCATATTAGAGTCAGTAGAATACGAGTTCAGCACTGGATTTTAATCAATCACAAATGAACTAGGCAAAATTTCAACATACACTCCCTGAGCATGAGAAATATTTATCATTTTTTTTATATATATATTTTGACATTATGAAGGTAATTATGATAAAAGATATATTATTAAATTCTGCATAGATTAAAAAGAATGTAATCATATTTATATGTGAAATAAATTATAAAAAAACAAATAATACCAGGAATGAGTTAGTTTGAAAGCACCTAAGCTTTCTACATAGTTACATATATTCAAACTCAAGTTCAAACAATATAAAGTACACCAACGTCATGTTCCCCAATATTTGGCTCATTGCAGCTACTTTATGACCCAACTAAGAATAGGTGAGGTTTCGTTTGTGCATGGAAAAGAATGGCTGACGATATCAATACCTTGGCATTTGTTGAGCCACTGATAAACCAAAGAAGCTCTTCAACAATCCCTCGCCAAAATACTCTCTACAATTGATTGAAGAAATCAAGTCAAATTTTCTATCAAAATTAGCAAATAGATATTCCCCCTTCCTAAAAAACATCCAAAGAAGTAAACACAATATATCAATCCCAAAGAAAAAAGAGAAGAATTCATATGAAAGACAAATTATTTTAAACAGTAGATCAACAACATCTTAAACCATAATCTCTAGTTCTCTACTATATACCTTAGTTGTTAGAAGAGGAAAGCTTCTGCGCAGATTGAACCTCATCTGTGGAAATATATAGACAAAGTCAGCATATAAATCACAGTAACCTTCAATATACCAATTAAAATGTTACCTGGCAACCAAATTTTGACAAGGTACCAGTCCCTGTCCTATCAACCTTAGTTGTACCTTCAGAAATGATGTCTTGAACCAGCTTAAGATACAAATACTCCTCGTGTCTCTCAAAAATCATTTTAGGAAGAAAAGAAAAATCTTTGACCTCAAACTTTAAGGAGTCAGAATTATTATCAAAATGTGGATTGTCAGAATTATTATCAAAATGTGGATGGATATTCTGACTTGGGGACTCTGCAGCTGAACTCCTTACACGCACAAAAGTGGTGAAAGAATAGCGGATTTCGTTTTCCACTTTAGGAAAGGATGAGTACCATGGACAAAATATAGTGGAATCAACTGGAGGCATAAAAGTGTCGCACTCAATGCTTGACTGAATTTCTGTTAAATGGATGGCTTCACATCCAGGTGCATCCAGAGCCTCTCTGAACATGAAAATTATCAGCTAACACAGAAAGAGCTATAACTTGAAAAGGAAGGATAAGATGAAGAAATATATTTAAAAATAAATATACATACCTAAATATCTGTCCACCTCCTATAACAAATACTTTCTCAATTGACAGAGAGTAAGGAGAAGCAGCTAACAGTTCCAATGCAGAAGGCATACTTCCACATATAACAACATTCTCTGCCGTTGCAATATCAAAGCTGCCTGACCGAGTAAGAACAACATTAAGGCGACCAGAAAGAGGCCTGTACTCGAGAGGAATACTCTCCCAAGTTTTCCTTCCCATTACAATGGCATTCTTCTTCCCAGGATCAGATGTTTTCATTGTGATTTCCTTAAAAAATTTGAGATCAGTAGGCAATCTCCAGGGTAATTTCCCATCCTTACCGATGCCCCAATCTTGAGTGGCAGCAACTACCACTTGGTAAGTCCTTTGTAGGTTTGGTGGCGGATTGACATTGTCGTTGTTGTCTCCGTTGGAGATAGCAGAAGAATCGCTAGCCATTATAGACCTCAAAAGCCGATGGGAACTTAACGAGGGTCTCTGAAAACAAGGACTGCACAGCCAATTCTTTTGGAAGTGCAGAGGAATCTAAAACCCAAAAAGGAAATAAATTAAAACTATAAAAAGTAACTATAAACGGCACCATTCATGCACAAAAAACACTAAAGATGAAAGGGACACATCATGCTATTAAAAAGAGAAGAAAGACAATGCAACTAAAACCTAAGTCGCTTTGAAGCTGAATACTAGAGAGAGGGGGCATAAGCCCATATTTCAGCAAGAACTGTTGTAGCTAATGCATGAATAAATCTAAGCAAAGATATGATTAGTGGCCGAGTTGAATATAGCAGTGAATCCTTCAACTGATGCAAGACCATTTACATTCCATTCCCCAAACTTAGGCAAAAGTTTTCCTTTTGCTCATAATAATGCACATACAAATGTTTATATATACCAACAAATGATTAACTGGTGAAAGTATTTGCACTAATCAACACATATGCAGAGTAGCACACACCAGCTGATAAATACACCACTAATCATAACACCCCTTTTGTTTGAGATCCCTTGATGAATTTGGGCCACCCAACATTAACCTTAACACAAGTTGTTTCTTTTGTCTCTTACAGCAGTAATGTTTAATGTTTTGGTTGGTGTTTTTTTGCCCCCATTTGGAGGCCTTCCAGCCTGACATGTATCTCGTTTACATGATTAATAGCATCTGTTTGCTTCCATATGCAATGCCAATTTGATTGAAGTACAGGTCAAATTCTTTTCAAAATTCAAATAAATAGATATGTTACAGTTGAGTTATGGTAACTCAAATAAAGTGAGAAGAAACACTCATTGACCAAGGGGTGAACGAAACAACAACCAAGACAGCAAGATTAATCAAAATGGAAGAAGAAAGGTTGTTATGGGTCTGGAATCTGGATCAAGGACATTAGTAGCTCCAGGGTCACCATTACGAGACAAAAGTGAAACCATATTCGTCACCAAATCAATAGTATAACCAACAAAATTTTCCAAAATCAAACTCGCACATGTTACAATTCAACTGCACATAAGAAGTTCAAGCATTTTCTAAACTATCAAAACTACTGAAAAAAAATAAAAATAAAAAGCTGGTGAAACAAGAACAAAATAATCATCGAGCATATATGAACTCCACAACACAAAAAACAATAAAAAAAAACAAAAAACAGAAAATGTGGCCGAGGAAGGTACTGACCGATGTCAACCTGAAGAGCGTAATTTTGAAAGAACTATTATGACCTAAAAAGGAAAAAACAGAGTGCAAAATTCCACTAACTTTTTCAAGTGAGGAAAAACATCAAAATCCGAACTGAAAGTATAATTGTATAATAATAAAAAGGCGTAATTAGAAAATGGAAAAGAAAAGTTAACAAGAGAAGCAGGTGCTGATAGTGAAAAATGAGTGAGAGTATAGAGACCTGATAGATTTCTTTTTTATTTATTTATTTTTTCATGCAGAATATTGTAAAATGATGGCTTATAATTATCATATAGGTGTGTTTGAGACAAGTTGAGTTCAATCTAATTAGAGTTGAAAAAAAAATTGTATATTTACAAGTTTTTATTTTTTGTGTGTTGAAATATATTTTTTTATAAAATATAATTTTAAATTGATATTTAAGCCTACATAATAATCCATAAAAAAAAATACATAATAATTGAGTAATGTATCATCGTTTTGGATCATGGGTCATATGTATGTTTTTTTCTGCTACTTGAAAGATTTGTTAATTGCATATTTTTCAAATTCTTGTAATAAATATTTTTATGTAACATTAAAGGAACAAAAATAAAAATTTCATATCTTAAAGAGATATTAGTCATTGATAAAAAAAAATATTAATTAAAGATAAATATTTTAAATAATTAAAACTAAAATTTAATCATTTATGAAGGACTAAGAATAAATATTTAAATTTTTTAAAAAATAAATTATAAAAATTAACCTCTATGTATTAATACAAACATTTATTTTACTATTTTTATGAGTTTTTCTTTTCAACAAGATAATTTATAAAAAAAATATTTATTTTATTTTTATTTATTATAATTATTTATTAATTAAATTTTAATATTTTAAAATAATTTATCAATAAATAAAAATAATTTTTATTATAATATAA